TTTTTTAATTTTCCATTTTTCACTTACAGTTTATATTTTTCATTTTTGGCTTCCTTTCATTGTATTTCTTTCTTGCCTATTTTGAGATCTAGTTTCTTCTAACAAACAGACCAAAATACACTCAGACTCCAGTTTATTGCTCTTGTTCTGTTCTACTTCTTGTTTGATTTTTATTCTCTTTTTTTTCCTTTTCCTTTTGGTTTCTGTTCTCTTCTGACCTGTGTAGTATATATTTTTCTGGTGTTGTTGTTGCTATATTAGTATTTTCCCTCTTTCATCTATTCTTTTCTGGACATAATGACAAGACAGAAGAACTCACCCCAGAAAAAGAGAAAAAGAAGCAGTACTCACAGCCAGGGATCTAATAAATATGGATATAAGTAAGATGTCAGAACTAGAATTCAAAACAATGATTATAAAGATACTAGGTGGCCTTGAAAAAAAGCATAGAAGACACTAGAGAATCCCTTCCTGGAGAAATAAACAAACTAAAATCTAACCGAAATTAAAAAGGCTATTTCTGAGATGCAATAAAAAATGGAGGCTCTAACTGCTGGGATAAACAAGGCAGAAGAGAGAGTCGGTGATACAGAAGACAAAATGATGGAAAATAAAAAAGCTGAGGAAAAGAGAGATAAACACGATCCTCTCAACTGATGCAGAAAAAGCATTTGACAAACGACAGCATTCTTTCTTGATTAAAACTCTCCACAGTGTAGGGATAGAGGGAACATACCTCAATATCGTAAAAGCCATATACAAAAAGCCGACCCCAAATACCATTTTCAATGGAGAAAACCTGAGGGCTTTTCACCTAAGGTCAGGAACACAACAGGCATATCCACTCTCTTTTTTTTTTTAAGATTTTATTTATTTATTTGAGAGAGAGCACATGAGAGGGGGAGGGTCAGAGAGAGAAGCAAACTCCCTGCCGAGCAGGGAGCCCGATGCGGGACTCGATCCCGGGACTCCAGAATCATGACCTGAGCCAAAGGCAGTCGCCCAACCAACTGAGCCACCCAGGTGCCCCTGGCATGTCCACTCTCACCACTGTTGTTCAGCATAGTACTAGAAATCCTAGCCTCAGCAATCAGACAACAAAAAGAAATAAAAGGCATCTGAATCATCAAAGAAGAAGTCAAACTCTCACTCTTTGCAGATGACATGATACTCTATATGGAAAACCCAAAAGGCTCCACCCAAAAATTGCTGGCTCTCATACAGGAATTCAGTGAAGTGGTAGGATATAAAATCAAAGCACAGGAATCAGTTGCATTTCTATACACTAACAATGAAGCAGAAGAAAGAATCAAGGGCTCAATCCCATTTACAATTGCACTCCAGACCATAAGATACCTAGAAATAAACCTAACCAAAGAGGTAAAGGAAAACCATAGAACACTTATGAAAGAAATTGAGGAAGACACAAAGAAATGGAAAAATGTTTCATGCTCATGAATTGGAAGAACAAATATTGTTAAAATGTCTATGCTACACAGAGCAATCCACACATTCAATGCAATCATTATCAGAACACCATCAACTTTTTTCACAGAGCTGGAACAAATAATCCTAAAATTTGTATGGAACCAGAAAAAAAACCCGAATAGCCAGAGGAATATTGAAAAGAAAAACCAAAGCTGATGGCACCACAATTCTGGACTTCAAGGTGTATTACAAAGCTATAATCATCAAGACAGTATGGTACTGGCACAAAAACAGACACATAGATCAATGGAACAGAATAGAGAACCCAGAAATGGACCCTTAACTCTATGGTCAAGTAATCTTTGACAAAGCAGGAAAGAATGTCCAAGGGAAAAAAGACAGTCTCTTCAACAAATGGTGTTGGGAAAATTGGACAGCCACATGCAGAAGATTGAAACTGGACCATTTCCTTACAACATACACAAAAATAGACTCAAAATGGATGAAAGACCTAAATGTGAGACAGGAATCCCATCAAAATCCTAGAGGAGATCAGAGGCAGCAACCTCTGTGACCTCTGCCACAGCAACTTCTTGCTAGACGTGTTTCCAAAGGAAAGGGAAACAAAGGCAAAAATGAACTATTGGGACTTCATCAAAGTAAAAGCTTTTGCACAGCAAAGGAAAGTGTTGACAAAACCAAAAGACAGCCGACAGAATGGGAGAAGATATTTGCAAATGTCTTATCAGATAAAGAGCTTGTATCCAAAATCTATAAAGAACTTATCAAACTCAACACCCAAAACAACAAACAAAAATCCACTCAAGAAATGGGCAGAAGACATGAACAAACATTCCTCCAAAGAAGACATACAAATGGCCAACAGACACATAAAAAAATGTTCAACATCACTTGGCATCAGGGGAATACAAATCAAAACCACAATGGGTTACCCCTTCCCCCCGTTCGGATTGGTTAAACTTAACTCAGGATGCAGAGAGGATGCAGAGAAAGGGGAATCCTCTTACACTATTGGGAATGCAAACTGGTGCAGCCACTCTGGAAAACAGTATGGAGATTCCTCAAGAATAAAATTAAATAAAATTAAATTAAAATTAAATTAATAAAAATATATAAAAAAATAATATAAAATATATAATATATAAAAATAAAATATAAAATATAAAATAAAATAAAAATAGAGCTACCCTATGACCCAGCAATTGCACTACTAGGTATTTACCCAAAGGATAGAAACATAGTGACCCAAAGCGGCCCCTTACACCCCAATGTTTATAGCAGTGATGTCCACAATAGCCAAACAATGGAAAGAGCCCAGATGTCCATCTACAAATGAATGGATAAGGAAGATGTGCTATATCTATACAATGGAATATTACTCAGCCTTTAAAAAAATGAAATCTTGCCATTTGCAATGACGTAGATAGAACTTGAGGGTATTATGCTGAGCGAAATAAGTCAATCAGAGAAAGACAATTATGATTTCACTCATGTGGAATTTAAGAAATTAAACAGATGAACATAGGGGAAGGGAGGGAAGAATAAAATAAAAACAGAGAGGGAGGCAAATCATAAGAAACCCTTAACTATAAGAAACAAACTGAGGGTTGCTGGAGGGGAGGTGGGGGATGGGGTAACTGGGTGATGGACATTAAGGAGGGCACTTGATGTAATGAGCACTGGGTGTTATATGCATCTGAGGATATATTATTTATAATAATTATAAATAATTAATAATATATGTTAACTAATCGAATTTAAATAAAATAAAATTTTAAAAAATAACAGTTTTGGGTGCCTGGGTGGCTCAGTCAGTTAAGCATCTCACTTTGGCTCACATCATGATCTCAGAATCTTGGGATTGAGTCCTGCAATGGGCTCCCCTCAGCAGGGAGTCTGCTTGTCCTCTCCCTCTACCCCTCCCCTGGTTTGTGTGCTCTCTCTCTCAAATAATTTTTTTAATTTTTTAAAAGTAGCAGTTTTATTATTCCTATCTACAGAAAGTTTACTCTGTTCAAGAGACTACCACTAACAAAAGTCAGAAGTCTTTAAGATGATAAAGACTTGGGGAGATTTTGTGGCTGATGGGAACTTAATGGAAAATCTAGGGAAGAGAGAAGCATCATTAAGTATAAGACTTCATAATATTCATTGGAATGGAAGAAATAAAGGAACTGTCTGCGGATGCAGAAGTTTGCGGGCTTGGTGGTGGGAAGCTGGCAGAGACGCCATCCCATGGCTTCGTGTGACATCAGAGGCGAGGTCACTAGGGGAGTTGGGGGACGGTGACCGCTGGAGGTTTGAGAACAGAGAAGTTTAAAATAGTCTTTGCAAAGAGTGGAAAGAGTGACTCTTGAGCAGAGAAACACCGAAAGAACAAAGACTGAGCGGCTGTTGAGAGTGCGTGTGGGTTGCCGGTGAAGAATTTGTGGTGGTGCCAGTCAGCCTTTCCTGTGGTCTGGCTTTCTCCCCCTGCCCTTGGCTGCCTGGGTGGGGCCCACAGGAAACAGACAGTAGGTGTATCCAGGGTTGGGAGTTTTACAAGACTGCTGAGACCAAAGAGCAGGGCCAAGGGCCTTTACAGTGTTGACTAGGGCATGATTTAAATAACGGATCCAAAATCCAAGCATCTCATGAAGCCGTGTAAAGTACTGTTTGGAAGTCTTCTCTGAGTTAGCGAGGGCAGTGAGGGTGGGGGACACTGCTCTCCACACCTCCCCAGCCTACTCACATTGGCGAACCAGAGTGAGCACCTCGTTAGGAAAAGGAGCCTTTCTGGATGCACTGGAGGAACAAAGGAAAGGAAGGAAGTGGCACAGATATTCTCCAGGTATACATATTTTCACACCCCCGATCCCAGGGCAGAAGACTCAGGTCCACATACGGAGGTCTAAACATAAATAAAAGTTCTAAAATCAAGCGAATATACTGTTAAGTAAAATACGTCACCCCTGCCTTTACAGATGTACCTTCCTGCTGGTCTGGAAGGCCACATTTGAATTTAGAAGTCACATGCTCTAGTGCTGCAAAGAAAAGTGGCTCCTGGCTGGCAGCCCACCCCTCTTCCCATCCCCAGCCTTGTCCCCCCTGCCCGGGGCCTCCTGTACCTGTGTCTGGTACCACAACTCGAATGTCCAAGCTCCAGTCACAGCCCCAGGCCTAGGGCTCTGCCCACCATAGTGTGGTCTGTACTCAGAAACGGGAGGACCCAGAGAAGAGGCCGACATGGTTTCTTGAAGCAGCCTTGGGGTCCCTCAGTCAGAGAATTCTGGGGTCCTGTGTGCCTGGTCTAGAAGGAAGAAGGGAGGGTGCAGGCTCTGGTGAGCATAGGCCCCAGGTGGGCACATCCCTCGGCCCCGTGGACTCCTTGCCTTGTGGAGAGGAGAAAGTGGAGGAAGGCCAGGGCTGGGCCCTCCAAACTGTTGGGGGCAGGGCCCCGCCTTGACCACGTCTGTGGGAAACATTAAACGATGCAGTGATAAACAGTACTGTGGTCTTTGTTCCTAGTCTGACTGCCTGATTTCTCTCTGTGTACATGTTTTTTCTCCTAGTGGGCTGTTCATCACCATTCATGACAAGGGTCACATTGCAACCATGCTAAACTCTTGGCCAGAAGACAATATTAAGGTATGATCCTGTTTTCTTTGTTACTGTGCTGTTGTTGGGTGAATCCTTTCAACCTGGACCAGAGTCATCCCCAGCTAGAAAATGAGCCATTATAACACTGAGGGAGAGACACTGCAAGCCTTCCCAGGCCCAGAGCCCAGCCTGGTTAGCGCCAGGCATAAATGCACCACAGAGCAGAGGTTTGCGGTGACCCACGCCCAGGTGAAATTGCCCTTATCATTATTAATAGTAGTGGTCTGAAATCTGTTCAGCATATATTGAATACCTACTATATATACAACACCAGTTTCCATGGAGGATACAGGGAAAAATCAGAACTTCTTCTCAAGTAGCTGACTTTCATAAGGAAAATAAGACAGAGACACAAAAGACTAACAAGGAACTTGGTCAGAGGTAAATGAAGCACACGGAGAGAGCTGAGGGTGTTCACAAAGGCAGAGATTACTTTCAGCCTGAGGGGAATCTAGGAAGACTTCATGGGAGAGGTGACATTGGAGCAGGGCCTTGAGTTAAGGGGTAGAGTTTAGCCAGATAGGCTTTGGAGACGGTAGGACATAGAGTGGGGACATTCTGCAAGAAGAGGCAAAGTTTATGGTGAACAGTACTTTCATGTGTGTGTAACACAGTTTGGGGGGAGGGGCGGGGAGACGGGTGGTAGTTCTATGCAGAGTGAAGAAAGAAACCTGCCTCTTTTGCCTGGAATATCAGCCTTTACTCAAGTAATCTAAGGAAAAAACATTTTTATATAGTAAACAGGATATAATATAATATGCAAAGTTTATATTAGTTTTGAAATATAAAACCTGCAGCTTTGTAGAAACTTGTTAGCCTCTGGCTACATGCCCAGATCGCCTCCTGCTAGGGAACTTCTATGGAAGAGTATGAGGGGCTTTCCCGTCTAAGATCATCATCGCTTCTGCAAATGGGTGAAGCAAAAATGCGAAACACCTGCTAGCTGCTTCATGAGGGCATTTCTGGTGCCCGAGCTGGGGAAGGATTGGAGCTGACTGGGAGGCTGAGGCACTGCACCATGGCTTCCTCCCCAGGCCCGCCCTCCCTGTTCCTGCCAGTTCCCTCAGTTACCCTGTCTCTCTCCACTAGGCACTAAGCACAGCTTCCCTCCGCACACCTCTCTCTCTGTCCTGCTCACTTCTGGCCCTCCCTGGGGAGTGGTAGCATTCTGAGCCAGAACAAGGAAGGCAGGAGCTTGGCTCTTAGGAGCCAGGCCCAAACCACCCAGGGCCCATGGACTTTATGGCCACGGTGAAGAGCTCATTTCGTACCTCTCTGTCTGGGTGTGATTTTGCCCTGGGCATTTCTGCCCTGCTTATCTGCTTAGACTCTGGTTTTGTGCAGGCCTGGGCCCTGCAGGTTTTGGTCTCGGTCCCAGAAGAAGCGAGTTTCTAGGGTGTGTCTAAGATGAAGCTATAATAAAATCTTCAGCACATTCAGGGAGGCCAGCTCACTGGATGGGCAGTGAACTCCAGCCTGCCCTGTGCAGACAGGCTGCCGAGGTACTGCAAGCTGATCTGTCCACCCTCCTGGGCACTTCACCCATGGTGAAAGCTTGTGCAGACTGGGCATGCGGTAGACGCTTGAGGTGCATGAACTCAGGCAGCAGACAAGACGAGCATCTCCCATGTACCAGGCACTGAGCCAGGAGCAGAGAAATGGAGTCCCCACCAACATACACGTGCCACTGTGCAAGCTGCGAGGAATTAAAGAGGACGCCAAAAAGCCATTGCATCTTAACCAGTAAGAAGAAGGTGCTCCTTTCTCTGGGGTGGCACAGAGGCTCAGTGAGGGGCTCATGGGCTGGGTTTCAGGCTCTAGCTGCTCCTTTTATCAGGGCACAACTTATAAAATACTCGTTGACTGACTTAAACACACATAGTTTGAGAACCTTCTATGTACTAAGTGCTAACTACCAGAGAGCTGGAGACAACCACTTTTGTGATTTTAGAGGAAGAGGAATGCAGCCAGAGCAGGCGGGACTGGAGCGGGCCTCAGAAGGAGAGAGGCATCCAAAGCCTCTCAGGAAAACAGAGGTTCCATGGGGACATCTGGACCAGTGCATCTAATTCCTTTGCACTCAACGCTCATTGAGTAAACATCTGTAGGATTTCCCTGTAGCTTCCGGGATCAAGAAGGTGTACAGGCCCAAAGTCTGGTTGGAGAGACTGACCTGGAAACAATTGCATAGACTGTGTCTGTGCTGCCAAAGAGGGGAGCCCGGAGGCGAGGAGGTGAGGACCAAGCATCCTGACTGGCTGGCCACGCCCCCTGCAGTAGCTGAGAGCGGAGGAAGGAATGCCTGGGGCCCGCCCTCCTCCCCTCCACCCTTTATTTTTGTCTCACTTTGGAGAGATGCTGAGATCAGTCCCTGGTAACTATATAGAAGACTCAGTTCTGGCTTTGCAGTCAGATGTCGTGAATCTTCCATTCATTTGCTGCATGTGCAGATAACCTCTCTGGTCATTGTTCTCTTACTGTGAGGACGAACTATCAAGTCTGTACAACAACGAAAGGCACTCGAATGGGTGTTGTCCTTGCAGGAGGTGGAAGAGATGGCCGTGTCACACACAGCAGTGCAGGGCAGAGAGAGCAGAGGCCCAAGAGCCCCTAGGAGGAGGCCCTCTTAACTGGGAATTATGGACCACAAAGGGGCAGCTAGCCGATGAGGCCCCTGGACATGTTTGACTTGGCCCTCAGTGAGTTTTGAAAATTTTGAATTTGTAGGGCAGTATTTTAAAATCAGGAGACTTCATTTGGAAAAAGAAACAAACAAACTTGGATTTCTGGCTTTCTCTAGAAAAACCAGGAGCCCATAGTTTGGCTACATATTGGACCCACAGTCAGGCACATAAGTAAGGCAGTTAGGGCTGCTCAGGCTGCTTCCAGCTTACCCGAGTCTCCCGCCTGCCCCGTCCACCAGCCTTTTCTGGAGGGTCCTTCCCCCTCACCCCTAGGACTGCCCTTTCAAAGGTTCAGAATGTTCTAAGTCTTAGTCTTTCTTGTTTGCTCGTGTGTTTTCTCCAGTTGCCCTAAAAAGAGGAGATGAAGGTCTCCTTCCCTAGGCAGGGAATCCCTTTCGTGGTATTTTGAAGCTGGATTCCCTCTCATTATTTCCTTTGGGTCTCACAGCCCCTGTGATCAGAGTGGAGAAGGAAGGGGTGTGGCTAATGCCCCCAAAGTGGGTCCTGAAGAAAGGGGTGTGTCGTTTCTCAGGCGAGCAAGCTGAGGTTCCGTGACTTGCCCATGGTCACCCATCAGTAGGTGTCGACGCCCCCAGAGCCCTGCAGCTGAGCCACCTCCTCCCCAGCTGCTGAGTCGAGGAGGCGGTTTTCCAAGGCACGGGTATCTTTAGACCCTGATGTTGGCGGCCTCTTGGCTGGAGGGGAGAAGTGGTTCAGAGGAGCTTCTGAATCACATCCGAAAATAAAGGATGACTTTCCCTGGTGTCCCTGCCAGAAAGCAGAACTGCAAACTGCAGTGTAGGAGAAGTAGACTGGGAGGGAGGTGAGGCCAAAGCCCAGGGCTGGGGGGACCATGGAGTTTTGTGGCCCCTCTTGTTCAGGGAGGAGGGGGGCGGGCCAGGCTGCCCAGAGCTGTCCAGCATAAATCACGAAAAGGAGTGAGAACTGCTTTTCTGACTCTTTCCCACAGTGGCCACTGCCTTGAGCCTGAGGAAAACTCAGCTGAGAACAGACCCCCTCCCCATAGCTTTCCCAAGCTCCTAAATCTCTCCCTCACCCCAGGCCCAGCATCTTCGGGGGGAGGGAGGGAAGGTGCTGAGAGGCAGCTGGGTAGGGGAGGCCCAGGAGCAGCCTCTGCTGCTGAGCACCAACCACATGGGCGTCCCAACTTGGACGAGGTGCTGGTTATGCACAGGCCTGCCACGTGTTAAACCCACTCTGTCCTCGGTGTCAGAAGGTGGGTGTCCTGGGAAACATTCTCTGAGATGGACATTAGCCTCTCAGGGAGTGTTCTTGGGATCAACACCTCTAGAAGGGAAGGAAGCAGGAGAAAGGCTAGGGAGAGGTTGGGTGGAGTGAGGCCTCAAGGAAGCCCCAGCTGAGCCCATGAGGAGCCTCTGGAGCTGGGATGGCTCTTCCAAGTCCGACGGAGTTGGGGCAGGGGAGCTGGGCCTTTATACCCCTGCATCCATCAGTCATTGGTTGTGGGCTGCTGCCCTTCGGAACAGGGTGTGACTTGGGGCAAGGTGGCTCTCTTCTGTCAAGGAAATTCTCCAAGTGGGCTGACACCTGAGGGCACAGCTGAGCAAATCACTTGAGTCCCGAAAGGGAGATGTGGGCAGCACATCCCTGTATCCACCTCATGCAGCGTCTGACCTCATTGACTTCTAATGACCTATAAGTGGTGAGGATTATTATTACCCCCATTTTATAGACAAGGAAGGTGGCTGTTTGCCTGTGAAGGGTTGAACCAAGATTTGCAACTGCAGACTATGTGTTATTTATGTCATGGAGAGAGAACAGGAGGAAGAGGAAGAAAAAAGGAAGGATGAGAGAGAGGGAGGAGGTGAGGGCTGTGGTAGCCCATGACATAACCACAGGTCCAAGGAACACGGGGCTACAGCAAGCAAGGAAACTGGGGCTAGAGCAATGGGGTCAGCCCCATTGGGTCCACCTAGGCTAAGGGACATGGGCAGTAAGGCAGAAAAGGCTGTAGGTCCAAGCTAAGTGGACAGAGGAAGAATGTGGCCCACCTCCTCCTTCGTCATCTGAAATACAGAGGAGGTATGAGTTGCAGATGCCATCCAAACAAGGAAGCTGTGATCCTGTAGTTCACTGATAGTTACTGCTGGACTCTAAAACCCCACTGTCCTGCTCAGGCTTGTCCTCAGATTTTGACCTCTACCGTACTAGTGGCCCTTGGCATCCAGCTCCATTGATGTCATGAAAAATAAGATCCAGCATCTTCTCCCTGAACTTGTTCATTCACCCCACGTATGAAAGCAGTCCTGTGGAGAGCCTCTGCTCTCTATGTTGGATCTATCATATTGGCCACCATTTATCCAGTTCTTATCACATTACAGGCACCAAGCTAAGTGCCTGAAGAATCAAAGATGACAAGACCCATTACTTGCCCTAAAGAGCTTAGAACTCCTATGAAAGATGAAGTTATCATCTAACTAACATAATATGAGGAAAATGCCATGGGAACTTAGAGGAAGGAGTATGACTTCTGGAAAGGGAACATCATGGAGGAAGGTGACTTTTGTACTCTTCCTTGAAGCATACAAGAATGGTAGGATTTGGATCAGGGAGATCATAGGGATTGAGGGGTAAAATGGCATGTAGTCCGGAAAGTACAAACCTTATACAAGGTTGGAATTATTTTATTTGGATAAAGAAGAAATTCAAAGAGTGGTTAGGACCTAGACCATGGAAGGCCTAAAACGCCAGTCAAAGATGTTTGAGCTTTATTTCACAGGCATCGAGAGCCATTGGAGGTTTGGGGTAAGGAAGTGGCAAAGCTGGGTGTGCTTTGGAAAAATGAAATGGAGCAGGGGGAATCCAAGAGTGGAGGGACCTGTGAGGAGACCATTGCGGCGGTCAGATGAGATGGATGGGCTCACCCGAAGGCAGCAACAATGCAAGTGAAGATCATGGAACGAATGGAAAAGTAAGGAGCAGGTGGAATCAGCAGAACTTGGTGACCAGTTGGCTATGGTTGACAAGCGACAGAGAGGAGTTGTAACAGGACAGATTTGAGTTTGGGAAATCCGAGGTAACGGAGGGAGAACAGCAGAAGTGAAAGGTTTAGAAGAATAAAGGGAAAGCAGATTCATTTGGTTAGGGACTCAGGAATTTGGGGGGACTATTGGACATCCAAATGGCAATGTCTGCTTAGAGAGGACAGTAGGAGCCACAAGATTTGCATGGCTGACTTTCTTGGCCAATGGCCACCACGGTCTCCTCTTGGTTCCATTTCATTCACTTATTGAACAGATGCTTACTGCATGGCCTTCCTATGATAATGCTGAACTAGAGAGAAGATAAAACAATTAAAAATCCAATATGGGATCTTTGCCCCATATAATAACCATCATCATAATCATAAGAGCAGTAACCATTTATTGATCACTTACCCAAGGCACCTGGTTAAAATGAGACTGATATTACTTCATCATTACAACCATCTGATGAGTTAGGTATGATTATCCCCATTTTATGGAAAATTAAAACTCAGAAAAATTATCTGTTTACCCAAGATTACATATGGTGCATTATCAAGGAGGCTAAATTTAAATACTGGTTGTCAGACTCCAGAACCCCTGCCATTAATCTTTAGGTTGTTTGGTGAGATAAAATGTGCATTTTTAAAAATGTTAAATAAGAACCCAAATGTTTAAGCAGCACCTTATGCAGGGGTTGCAAGCAGTAGGTACTTAGTTAATGTTTGTGGCAGGCAGGCAGGCAGGAAGGGTGAACAGGCTAGCTGTGTGGTAGCCCTAACAGGTGCTAGGTGAAATCGCATTAGATTGTAATGGAGCAGGGTTTGCATGCTGGAGGAGGACCTTCTAGGAGAGAGGACCATGGGGGCTGAGAGGGAGGAGATCATACATGAGTTCAGAGGACGTCTGGGAGGAGTGAGGAGGTCAGTTTGGCTGGAGTAGGCACTTGTGTGCAAATGAGTAGCAAGAGCTAAGTCAGAACATATACTGGGTTCAGATCATTAAGGTGTTAAATGTTTTGGACTCTATTCTATGGACAGTTTGAAGTCATTCAAGGTCTTTGAGCCTGGGAATGGCATGATGAAAATGGGTTTCTGACACAATGCATGCTGAGAGACTGGAAGGAGGAAAGATGAGTCTGGTCATGAAGCTGTTGTAATAATCCAACCAATAGCACTGAGTGATGGAGAGAGGGTGGCAGACAGAAGTGAGGAGGCAGCCGTGCAGGAGAGGGCCCTTGCACGGTTCAGGCTGGGAGGGCAGCACTGCAGAGCCCCGTCACCATCTGGAAAGGCCCCGGAGTTGTAGGGATAACACCCTGGAGTAGGAGCCGACCTCCTCTGGTTAACTCACTGCCCTTCAATGGAGAGAAATTCTGAGAGAATAGGAATTGGAATAAGAAAGCTTTGATCAGGAGAAATGGTAGAGAAATGCCCTGAGTCTGGGCAGCATGAAAGCACAGGCTCCCCCAGGGGGAGGTCAGAGGCAGGGCAGAAGCTGACCAAGAGCACAGGTGCTTTAACCCAGTTGCAGTGGTGGTAGAAGGAGCCCAGAGCCAGGAACCCAAAGCCTGATTAGAATCCTGACCTGCCACGTGCACAAGCAAGGTGACTTTGGTAGGCCATCTAATCTTGCTAAGATACCTCATGTGGAAACATCCAATCCAGTGCCTGGCTGATACGTAACACATGTATATAAAACATGAAAGTCTTAGAGCTTTTGTTTGCTCACCTGTGAGATGGGGATAACAATCTCAGACTCACCCACCTGCCAGGGCTGTGGGGAGAATCAGGTGGCATGTGGGTTGAGAACACTCTCCATAGAGGCAGTAGATAATCTGAGGGGGAAAATCAGGATCGTCATGGGTCTCTTGCACTGCCCCCCGCAAGTCCCCTTTCCAGAAGTGGAGGAGTGTTTTTAAGAATCTCTATACCTGTTTCTACTGAAAGGCGGCACCTCTGTGTGCTCTTACTCTTAGAGAGCTGGAGAATAGAAATGATAAGATGCCATGGGCCATAAACTCTTCCAGGGCAAGAATGGATCTTCATCTCTTTATCCCCAGGGCTTAGTGTGCCTGCATGGATTGAGCTGAGCCCCGTGATGCCCAGGAGCACCACACTTGGGGCATTGGGACGTCCATTGCTCAGAGCTGGTCCTAAGCCCTGGTCAAAGCCAGGCTCCAGTGGAGGGATGGGTAGCCCCATAAACATAACTCATTTCAAGATGGAGGGAGGCAGTGATGGTGAACAGGTCAGGGTGACCTATAAACAACTTCACTGTCACCGAGGGGATTTCTGTGGCCTGACTTTTAAGACCCTTCCCCGTCTGACTCCTGCCTGACATTCTGTTCTCTCCTTTCATGCGACTGCACCTCCTCATTCCCCACACACAGCCCACACCCTTCCCACCTCTGTCCTGCATCCGAATTTCCTTTTTCATCAAGTACCTTCCTCCCCAGCTGGACCCCTGCGGACAGTCTTCTCCTGTGTGCCCTCACCCTTACAGAGGGTTACCCTACAGGAAGTAATTCTCCCTTCTCAGTCTCAGCTGCCCTCGTGCTGCTCCACTACCCTCACTTTCCTCCCAGAGTCGTTAATTATAAGTAGACATGTTTCATCTCTTTGTATTGCCCCTTAGTTCTTTAAGGTCTGAATCCATACAGACTTGTTATTACAAATGAGCAAAGTGATGCCCCTTCTCCCAGGATCTGGCATAGTGTCTGCCAAGTAGGTGCTTCATAAATATGTAGTAAAGGAATGAATAAATGAATATCTATCAAAATCATGGTAATTTCTATCACCATCAGCTTCTTCAGCATCTCTTAATTAAGAGCAAGCAAGCCCCGAACTAGCACAAAGTATGCCTCCAGTGATTGTTTGCCAAAGCACACGGTAACTGCAGCACAGCTGGAGAACCCTCCTGGGTTCCTGGGAAGTGGTGACCCCAGCCACTGTCACAGAAGCCCTGCCCTCTGCAGGTTGGACTTACTGTACCCCAGGAGCAGGTGGAGGGCACTTCCATCAGCCTCGAAACCCTGGGCTTGTGGCAGCAGCATGAACACTTGTCCCTCAGGGCCTCCTTTCATTATGGTCCTGCGCCCAGATCTCAAGCTGGGAATATCTGCTTAGTTTCTTTGAGGGAGAGTGACCAGACGTGGTTTCCCTCCAGCTGTTTCTGCAGCCCCTGCCGCAAATCTCAGAATGCGGGATAAGGTGTCCGCCCAGCTCAGTGGGGCTTCTCACCAGCCTGCCAAGACGGGGGCAGGGAGAAGGACTGCCACCTGCAATGGAATGAATCCCTCGGCCTTTTCCCCGACCAGCGTTCCGTCCCCCAGCAGAGGAGGTGGGCGTCCACTTGTCAAGCCCAACACAGGAGGGGTGATAAAATGAGCACTTTGTCACAAGAGGCTCTTCCCTGATTGTTTCCAGGCCGTGGTGGTGACTGATGGGGAGCGCATCCTGGGCCTGGGAGATCTGGGCTGCTACGGCATGGGCATCCCTGTGGGCAAGCTGGCCCTGTACACGGCGTGCGGAGGGGTCAGCCCACAGCAGTGCCTCCCCGTCCTGCTGGATGTCGGCACCAACAATGAGGTAACGCACCACCTGGGCCTGGAGCCCTGGGGCCAGAAGCTGACGGCTGGAGTGGGGTTGGGGCGTCTTTGAAAGGGGCAGTTATATCTGTAGAGCATTGGGACATTTCTTTCCTGGGTCCCCCTCGCCAGGGCACTTCCCCTGCACGGCCGAGAGGTGGGGATCTTTCTCCTTCCTGCCTGCCCAGCCCATTCCCTTCCCCACCTCCCCACCCCCCACCCCCCCAGCCCCCGGGACTCCTGGCTCCCCTTCCTCCTCAAGGCCCTCTGTGCCCTCCATGACCCCAGCTTGGGCCTTGTGTCCTTCCCCACTCCATGACTGCCCTCGGAGGCCTCTCTCTGATTCAGTAGTGTGGAGGGTCCCTTGATCCAGGCAGAAGAGGCTGCTGGGCAGTATTTTTTCAGCATTGTAGAGGTAGGCTGCCTCAATGAAAGAATTAAAACCCAAAGCACCAGGGCCAGGGGCTGAAATATCTGAATCAGCCAGATGAGTGTCCTGCAAGCCGCCCAGGGAGAAAACATGCTCCAAGCTGTGGGTGAGATCCACCTACAGATGCCAGATGGTTTGGGATTTAAGGAGCTCAAACCACAGGCAAGAGTTTGGCTGCTCTGGGTACCGCCCTGGAACACAGGGTTTGTGTGCATCTGCAGGCTCCGTTCTGGGTCCCTGTGTCAGAGAAGACAAAAAACTACCCAAGAATTCCTTCTTAATGACATGCATCTCTGAGTTTAAAATCTGTGCAAATTCATCTTTTTTAAAATGGGAAAAAAACAGAAAATCAGAGAGGTGTTAAAAATATCAGTTATACATCAGTACTAATCATGCTTTCCATTTTGATATATTTCCTTCCAGCCTTCCCCCCCCACCACAAAGTATTTATAAAACCAAAATTGTGTTTGAATATATAGTTTTGTATCCTGCCTTTAAAACTTAGTATATGTGGTGAGTTTTCTCCCAAGTCATTAGCCATTATTGCACAATGTCCGCTCCCTGGGGTGTCACAGTTTACAGAGGAAACCTCCCACAGCTGGACACTCAGGTTGCTTCTCATCTCTTTGCAAATATAAGTTTTACTCTGAGCCCATTTTTTGCAGATCAGTCTTTGTTTCTACTTGTGATTATGTCCTAGAAACAGAAATGTTGAGGCAAAGGGAGTGGTCTAGATTCTTGATTCATATGGTCCAAAAGCTTGTCTTACTCGCATTCCACAGTGATCTTTCTCAAGATACTTGCCATGACTCTTTGCAAGGCCATCCTCCTCCCTGGACACCATACATCCCCATTTCCAAACGAGAACGAGCACTGTCGCTCCTCGCAAAGAATGATACTTATTCAGGCTTCAGCCACAGATGCCATCCAGTGGGAGGACAGCCAGGCAGACCTCGCTTAAGAGCTGGAAAATTGTGAGCGTGGGAGCGGGGTGGGGGAGGACAAGCGTAGTGGGAGAAGGACTGGCCTGGGAAGTGGGGACCCTGGTCCTGACACCACAGACAGCCAGCTGAGTCCCCGCACCTATTCAGACTTGAGCCCCTTCCGCTACAATGAGGAACTGGACTGGTTTTTGAGTGTTCTGCCTCCAAAGCTCTTCTCCACATGCCTCCCCTCCAGCCTAGGAGACAGGAGGCAGGATGGCAAGAGCAGTCTTCAAGGTCTGCTGCATGCTGGGGTTCTCTTCCCCAGACCAGATGCCTGGGTCTTGCAGAAATGGTTCTTTGGTCCCAACATGCAGGCGAGGATGAGTGTAGTGAACATTGTTTTAGCTGTTCTTCCCATCCAATTCCTCCTGCTGTGTTCCAACGGGATTTAACTGAGACCTTTACTCACTCTCTCCTAAAAGCTGACTCTAAGCAAGATTGGGTCTAATTCTAAGGCCACTATATCCCCTGGAAGGGGATAATGTGTTCCTTCTCCTCCAAGTGTCTGCTTCTCCTCCTGGGGCTTTAGGTCTCTGAATCACTTCTCCCTCCTGGGTGTGGAAGGGAGAGAGCGTCCCCTGGGTCTGCCCCCCTCCCATCAGGAAGGATCGGAGTACTCCCCAGCTCAGAGAAGGGAACGCGCGCTGAGGGCAGGTGCCGCCCCTGCCATGCCACGCGGGCAGGCGGAGAGAAAGCAGCTCCGAGCGCTGTGGTGTGCCAGGCATAGCTCGAGGCCTCTGTGGATTTGAATCTCATTTTACTCTCCCCCAGGCTGTGTGAGATGAGGAACCTGAGACCCACACACGGGAACAACTCACCTCAGGCCCCACAGCGCTGTCAGAGCCAGGGTTTGAACCTCTCTGGCTCCGGAGGTGCCTTGTCCACCGTGGCGCACCGCTTCAAGGGGCCGGGCGTTTGTGTTACAGACTGGGTGATGAAGACTAGGAAAGGTGGTGGTTCACGCAGGCGGGGGCCCCACGGACGCCCAGGCCCAGAGGTTACCGATGCCATGAGCACGGTCCTCCCGCCCCAAAGAAAGGCAAACTCCCCGCAGACCCTCTTCACAAAATTCAAGACACAAAATTCCAGACTTACAAAGTGGCCAACATTGGGAAGACGGTGGTTTCGCTCTTCCAAATGCATTCACTATGTGATTTCCCACACTACAGTTCTTTAAAAAAAAAAAAGGATTGCAAGGTTCCCGCCTCCCTGGAAGTCTTGGGGCACGTCTCTCCCCCAGAGCAAGCCAGAGCAATAGGAGAGAGAGGCTTAACCTTGCAACTTTCATCTACGTGTCCGTGCAGGGAGCATGCTGTTTGAGGAGCTGCAGTGTCAGGATAACAAGACCGTCTGTGTGTGTGTGTGTGTGTGTGTGTGTGTACATACGCGTGCCTCTGTGAAAACTCCTGGGGCAACAGGAGCTCTAATCAGAGTCAAGGAAAACACCCTTCCACGTTTCCTGTTGAAGGAAAACATCTGCTGTCGACAGCCCTGAAACTCTGAGTCACTGTTACCTACCGACCCCAAGGAGGTTTGGAAAAATAAATATGTGGGGCAGCAATCCCATGAAGAGGGGATATCCCATGATTAAGTTCCAAAGGGACAAAGCCAGGGAACCCCCCCGCCAGATAGGCCCACCTGCTGGGGTCCTCCGTGGCTGTGCGTGGATTGGTTTGTGTCTTTTGCTTCATCCACACGCAGCCAGACAGCGTCACAGACTGTCCACGTTCGAAGGGACCTGAGCTACAATTGACCCTTGAACAACACAGGAGTGAGAGGTGCTGACACCCACGCAGTTGAAAATCCACATAGGACTTTTCAGTCCCCAAAACTTAACTACTAACAGCCTACTATTGACTGGAAGCCTTACTGATGATGTAAATAGCCAATTAACACATATCGTGTGTGTGGTATGGATTATATACTGTACTCTTACAATGAAGTAAGCTGGAGAAAAGTAAGGGTTATTAAGAAATCACAAGAGAAAATACATTTAGAGCACTGTACTGTATTTATCGAAAAAAATCCACAGATAAGTGGACCTGTGCCATTCAAAGCTGTTGTTCAAGGGTCAAATATACTTCTCATTGAGACCCCTCATTTCACCCAGGAGAAGGGGCACAGAGCAGAAATGGCTTGCTCCAGGTTTGACTCCAAGCCCAATGCTCATGCCACTCCACATGACAGGTCCTGCAGGGCAACCCCAGGGCTTGGCTTTAAAATGGCCCCTGAGCCTTAACAACCTTCTCTTGGCAGAAGTCTTGAGCCTCGATGGGTTCTAATGGGGGGATGTCTTCTTGGGGAGACATGGGAACAGACTGTCCACAGAGCCCAGCAGGCCATCCCTGGGGGTGCTGCCACAGTCCTGGGGAAGCGTGGGGCTGCCAACAGAGCTGGGCTTGAAAAGCTGTGTCCACCTCATAAGAGCATCGTTCCTGCAGCTGATGAACAGCCCGCACCCACCTTGTGGTGCTGTCAGATGCACTCGCTCTGTATGCACATGACCTTTGAGGGTGCCCCTCCTAGGATCTTCGTAGCTGACCCCTGGGCTTAACTGAGCCCCCAAAGACATGTGCAGTAGGCATACCTGCCACCCTGAGGCGGGAACGTGTGCTGTGTCCACAGCGTGAACCCAATCCCAGGACCTCCCCAGACCCCCAGATGCTCCCTGAGTAACTTCTTCATGTGCCTGTTGCTACATGAGGTAAATATTTTTCCCAGCCAGAAGCTTCATCTGTCTTCCAGTTTAAATCCAGTGCTCAGGGAGTGAGAGGGCAAGTGAAGAGGAGGAAACCATTTTTGTTTTTCATGACATTTTGTCTCCAAGAAAAACCCAAAGTCACAGACCTAAGCGACAGAGCCTAAATTCGGACCAGGACTGTTCATCTCCAAAGCCCAGACCCCGTTCTGACTCTAAAGCCAGAGCATACTGAGGGTGCTCAGAGGGAGCATCCTGAGCAGGGCCACCCAGCCAGGCAGTGCTCTTTCCTCTGCAGACACTGCCTGCCAGCTTTCAAGGTTCCTTCTGCCTCTCCTGATAGGGCTACCAGATTTAGCAAAGAAAACTATAGGATGCCAGCTCAATTTAAATTTCAGATAAATAGCTAATTGCATTTTTGCATATGTCCCATGTATGCTCCATGCAAAACTTGGGACATAGGCTAAAAAAAAATCTTGCCTATCTGAAATTCAAATTTAACCAGGCGTTCTGTATTTTATCTGGCAATACTTGCTGCTAAACACTTCTAAGTGTGTTTAGCACTCATGTAAGGAAGCACTTATGTAAGGAAGTCAAGGATAGAGGAGGGCCACAAGGAGAGAGTCCAGGCCAGCTAAGGGTCCCACACCTTGCTGGCAGCTGTTCTGATGGCTGCGTCACTCAGTGGGACAGTGAGCAGGATGGGGACTTCTTGTTTTGCGTCGTGCCAAGACAGCCGTGAGTGCTCCACCTTGTGCTGCTCTGGAGAAGCCATTATGCCTGCTGCCAGAGGAGGCCCACTGGCTGGCGATGGGGACTCGGCTTCTGCCCTGCTGTCCCTGCTCCCCAGCCTCCTCTGCAGGATCAAAGCCTGCACCTTCCCTGCCATGACTGAGTGCCTTCAGAGGACCGGGCGAGGGTGAGGAGCCACCCCCAGGTCACCTGGTCCCCACAACATGGAATATTGGGGGGAAAGGACACTGTCATGAGATCCAGGCAAAGCAAGGCTCAATTTCAGCTCAGCCACTTTTTGGCTCACCTTCCTCGTCTATAGCATGGGGATGACAATATGTAAGGTGGAAGGATCACATTACTTCTGATTCAGGAATGAATTATTTGAAAGTTCTATACAAATAGAAGAAGCTCTTTTTTAGTATTATCTCCATATAGAAACTTTCTTTCCAATTTGTGTGTGTGTGCTTAGGTATGAAGTATTTCAGGCATAATTTTAATATAAAAGCAAAATATAAGGAATGTTCTAAAGCTTTCATAGCCATCCTTCTATCTCAGTAGTACCTCTTTATAGTTGGCCTTTGACTTTAAATGCAGATATACTGAGAAATTTTTGGAAAATCAAAAAATTCCTCTGTATTCCTGGAGAATCTGATTTGCCCCACAAACCGGACATGCAACACTGAGAAATTTGCTTTTTGCTGCCTGATGTACCAGTGATCCAAATTAGCCACTTGGCAACATTACAAGTTACAACTCACTGTGACCCCTGGAAGTCTCTTAGAAGAACTAAAAATGTGAATCTTTTCTGCGGGTGCCAGCAGTGATACTGTTTTTTATCATTTCTCTGCATGCCCTCTGGGCTGTGTGTGCTTCAGAGAGTTGAAGTTACATCTGTGTAGTTTTGTATCCTGCTTTTCTCACTTTCAATAATCTCCTACATGTCAGTCCAGGTGGCTGCATAGTCTTAAAAACCACCAATTTTAATAACTGCCTAGCTTTTTTTTTTTTTTTAAAGATTTTATTTATTTGTCAGAAAGAGAGAAAGAGAAAGCACAAGCAGGGGGAGTGGCAGGCAGAGGGGGAAGCAGGCTCCCTGCTGAGCAAGGAGCCCGATGTGGGACTCAACCCCAGGACCCTGAGATCATGACCTGAGCTGAAGGCAGATGCTCAACCAACTAAGCCACCCAGGCGTCCCTAACTGCCTAGCTTTCTATCAAGTCATCACATTTATGGTTTGCCCTCAGCTGGATGTTTGCTGCCTCTAAGTGGCTTTCAGAGGGTCACCTTGAAGGTGGCACGTGAAGGGTGGGCACCGATGTGCCCCCTGTCATCCTTCAGTCTCGCAAATACACACACCTGCCAGGGCAGAATCCTAACCTGTCTCAAGGAGGGATTGCCCAGGGGTGAAGGGAGTGAGAAACGAAAGGCCTCTTGCTTAACATAGACCCGCGGTGCCTCAGGTGATGTGCATGAGCCCTGGAGCTGAGGGTTTAGGAAGGCAGATCCTGCCTATTCTTTTCTGTCCCCTACACTTCGGCACAACGACCTCCACCTCCACAGCCCCGTCAAGACAGTATTGATCTAGAGCAGTGTCTTTACAAAAACAGAGTCCATTCTGGTTGATGTGCAAACGAGCCACCCACGCAGTAGGGCTTTGTGGCAGCGACTGTGGGTGCTGGAGCCAGGCAGCCTCGCTGTGACTCCTGACTCTTCCCCGTACTAGCCCGGGGGCTGGGCAGCTTGCTTCACCTCTCCGTGCCCCGTTGCCTCATCTGTCAGATGGGGGAAATTGCAAGACCTACCTTTGTGTCTGCTTGGGCCCCTCCAGAAACAGAGGTGTGAAAGGTTTCTTGGGGGACCCCCGTGAAGAATAAAGGGGGGGGCAGGAGGAGTTGGCAAGTGGGTAAGGCCTTCAGACCCCAGTGCAGGTGCGAGACCTGTGACAGGAGAGGCAGGAGGACAGAGACCTCAGTCACAAGAGCCCAGTCCGAAGTGGGGTCCTGGGAAAGCCTTGGGCAGGGTGACGGGAGGCCCCGAGCAAAGGTCGCCCGCAGGAGGGCTGGTGGGGCAGCCCTGGGCCGCCCTTGACCTCGCCATGTTCAGCCAGGACTGGGAGCCGCCCAGGGGGAGGTGGAGGCTGAAGGCTGTCGGCCCACCTCCCTGCCCTCAGCAGGTTCTCTTCAGGGAGTTCTGAGCCACACCCCTCCATGGTTGTCCCACCAGAGGGGAGATACGAGTACTTAGAACAGTCCTTAATATGTGGCACATAGGAAGCACCGTGGAAGCTACAGCTGCAGCCGTTACTTTATAGCATGTGTTATAATGCACAAAGCTCTTTCCCGTATTATTCCATGTCATCATCCCAAGCACCCCCTGCAGCTGGCATTTCCTCCCCATTTGAGGAATGAGAAGACAGGTCCCAGGGGTCCTGTGATTTGCCCGAGGTCACATGGAGGGTCAGGGATGGGGGTCCAAGTGAATGGAAGCCCCTCGAGGGCGGGGCTGTGGGGTCCTTACCTCTGCGTCCTGCGGTTCAGATAGAGATGAGGGTAACACCAACGCTTATCCTCAAGGAGCTCCTGTTCTGATGAAATAGATAACTCCTGGAGACCCTCACGCATGGAATTACTTCCTGTTTCCTAAATACAGCAGGTACATCTTCTTCTGTCTGCCTCCAGCCCTCAGCCCTTCTTTGTGCTGACTTCCCCACCTGGAGGGCCCAACCCACCTGTCAAAACCTGCCCTTTTTTTTTTTTTTTTTTGAGAAAGAGAGAGGGAGAGTGTGTGTGCGATGGTGGGGGCGGGGAGCAGAGGGAGAGAGAGAGAGAGACAAATCTGAAGCAGGCTCCACGCCCCATCACAGAGCCCAACACAGGGCTCAATCTCATGACCCTGCGACCATGACCTGAGCAGAAATCAAGAGTTGGACGCTTCACCGACTGAGCCACTCAGGCGCCCCCAGAATCTGCCCATCTTTTAATGATCGGTCCTTTCCTCATGACAATCACCACCTGTCCCCCAATGGGAATTACTTTACTCCTTCTCTGTCCTTCCATGCACCACACTTCGTGCCAAAGCCTATCATTCTGCACTGTAGTAGAGTTTGTTTACTCATTAGCCCCCTGCAGTAGACCGTGGGCACGTGGAAGGCAACAACCATTCCTTACTCATTTACAAATTCCCAGCGGGGACCAATGTCAGCAGTAATGGATGATCCATAAACGTGTGTGACTGGGTCCACTGATTCTGTGCAGGGTGTATATGTGAGGGGGTAGAGAGGGGGTGTGGAGGTGGCCAGGGGCAGACACAGAAGTGTGTGAGCTCTGTGACAGAGCTGCAGGAGGTGGAGTTGGGGGGGGGTTCCCTAACACAGGCTGGTATTCGGGCGGGCATCTTTCTTGAACTGCAATCTCTGGTTGTACATTCTGCCCCTGTACCCTCAAGGACTAGCACAGTGCCAGGCACATGGTAGGTATTCAGTAAGTTTTCTTTGAGTGAATAAAGTGTTTACTCATTCGAGTCCAGATCAGTGGCTTTGGACAAGACCCAATACCTCAATCTAGATGCTGCCTGGAGGGGTTCTCAATCAGGGGCAGTTCTAACCCCCAAATAGACATTTGGCAGTGGTTAGAGACTTTTTTTATTGTCACAACTGGGGGTGCTACTGACTTCTAGTGGATAGAGACCAAAGATGCTGCTAAATATTCTGCAGTGTGCAGTTCAGCCCTCCCGTCCAAGAATTCCAAGCCCAAATGTCAATAGCCCCACTGCTGAAAAACCTTAAAATAAACCCAGAGCGCCTGCAGCCAGGGTTTGGAAGGCTATGTCTGAGAGGATTTTCTGTATCAAAGCATCCTTGGTTCCTGAAGTTGGAACCACCTAAGAGTCGCACCTCAGTCAATGGCTTAGCTTCCAGACCCTTCCAGAGATGACAGCTGGTGAGGCGGGGTCCACAGCCCACTTCCAGCTCCCTCCTCCCTTCCTCTCCCTGGTCCTTCCCACTAACCCAGGACCATTGAGCAAACAGATGCCATCTATTCCAGGAGCTGCTCAGAGACCCTCTATACATCGGGCTGAAACACCAACGTGTGCGTGGCAAGGAGTATGACGACCTGCTGGACGAGTTCATGCAGGCTGTGACAGACAAGTAAGTGGGTCGGCGTGTTCCTTTTGAAGTATGACTCAAGTCAACACTGGTTTCAGCAGATACACAAACAAGAGGTTGGAGATGCGTGCTTTTCTGGGTGGTCTGAAAATTGCAACTTGACCCCATGTCTCTGGCAGACGCAAAGCCAATGGGTTTGTTCTGTGGGAGAATCTTTGAGAGTGGGGAGGGGAGAGAAGAGGGTCGATGACTGAAGGCCCATGACTGGGTGGTGGTTAAGTGTCTGACGTCCCAGGAAGAAACCCCCTTGGCTGAGCTGTTCTGGGCTCTTGGCATGAACAGGGATGTGGTGAGTGGTGGAGAAAGAAGTGTACCCTTCTGACAAACTGGCTTTGGAAGGCAGCTTGCCACATGAGCTGTCATTTTCCACGTGTACGTGAGGACCGGACAGCATTAATGAGTCACCAGAGCAGGCCACACGGGCTGTGGGCCTGCAAGATTTATGAGGTGTCATCTGTGCACTGGGGTGTGTGATAATTGGCAGCTTCTGCCCCCCTCACCTGCCCCATCTGTCTGCCATTATGGCCACCCGTACACCCTGCTGTGGCTGGCATGGTACTGACTGGGATGGAGTTCTGGAAACAGCCCCTCCCCCCACCCGTTTAGTCTGACAGGCAAGTCAGTCAAGACAGAGTTCTGGCAACTCAGCAGGCCCCTGCAGACCCAGCAAGTCCCCTAGTCACTTGAAAACCTTCAGCCTTTCTTGCGCAGGTCATGGCAGGGCTGGCTGGGCGTCCTTGGCAAAGGCCTCCTTTGCCTGTGCTCAGCCACTCAAACCAAAGCAGTGGGCTGGGGAGAGCGCTGCTCTGACCTCTGCAGCTTTGGGGGCAGGAAAATTGGATTTGACTCTTGACCCCACCACCTCTAGGTCTGTGATGTCATGGAGCAGGTTACTGAGCTTGTAAATCTCCTTATCTGGTGTCCCTATCTGGGGATAAGAAGCAAGCATTTTATTGTTGTAGTTGTTTTTTAAGATGAAAGAAAATAATACTGTAGTTACATCGGATGGGAAGGACCTTATAGGAAAGAAGAAATTAGTAAGGGAGTACGGGCTAGGAGGGCCAGAGTTCCTGAGTAAGTGAGAGGGTGAGGGTCTGGCACACACCTGGAGGGCTTAGCCTTAGATAGGAGCACAGAGGCCCGGCCACAGGGGCTGGGGGTGGGGGGAGCACTGGGCACAGGTGCAGGCAGGTGGGGGTGTGTGGGAGGCCCACTGATTGAGGGCAAGGTCATCCACTGAGAGTGAGGATAGGGGGTGCAAGTGGTGGAGGTTTAAGGCTAGAGAAGGTATGACTTGCAGGGTCCAAACTAGGGCGCTAGGGGATGATTGCTGGATGGCCCCATGGGCCCCCCGCAGATCACTGGGCATGAATTTAACCAATTTCCATGTTTTTCTCTAGCCAGTTTCAACTGTCTGGATGCAGGACAGGAGGAGGTAGAGAGTAGGATTTAATCAGGGTTGGGATTTTGATAGGCAAGAGAGAAAAAAAGAATTGCAAGTATATTCAAGGGGCTGATGATGGTGATGTGTCCTGAGGTCTGTGCTGAGTAAGAAGGGACATGAGGACATTGTAGGGAGGATAGGGGACCGTGACATGCATTATCAATGAGGTTCAAGAATGACTGAGTTGGGGGCGCCTGGGTGGCTCAGTTGGTTAAGCGACTGCCTTCGGCTCAGGTCATGGTCCTGGAGTCCCGGGATCGAGTCCCGCATCGGGCTCCCTGCTCGGCGGGGAGTCTGCTTCTCCCTCTGACCCTCTTCCCTCTCGTGCTCTCTATCTCTCATTCTCTCTCTCAAATAAATAAATAAAATCTTAAAAAAAAAAGAATGACTGAGTTGGATAAAAGGTAAAATGAGCTGGACAGAGAGAGGTGGTCATCAGGAAGTTAGGTGTTCACAGCTGAGATTGTAGAGGAGGTGCTACCACTAAGAACCACCAAGGCAGCTAATGGAGGGTCAACTGCATTAATAGAGGTGTAGCATCTAGAACAAGAGAGGTAAATGTCCCAGTTCCCTCTCCCCCTTTCAGACCATTCTGAACACCACATTCGGGTCCAGAAAGGATACTGTGAGGGTCATAAATGACCTGATATGCCTTTGGAGAGCAGTAACCATGACAGTGAGGGGAAAGGCTTAGCCTGGTGGGGAGAGGACTTAGGGACTGCTCCATCTATATTGGGATGCAGTACATGTCCAGATATCTGAAAGCTATTCCAGAAAGGGGCTCACCTTGTCTCCGTATACCCACATGGAGAAGAACCAGCTGGTAGAATGGCAAAGGAGGCAGTTTTCAGCTGAAAACAAATCAGAGCTATCTCACAGCGTACCTGACTCTCTGTGGGAATGAGTTCCCTGTCACAGAAAGTGTTCAAGTGTAGGTTGTTGGTGGTGCTATTACAGGAGGAAATGTAAGCCTCAGAGGCTCTTTAAGATGCCTTCCTACCCCGGGATTCCATTCGGACCACGCAAGATCCCTGCCTGGCTGGCAACATAGGTATTACTGTACCCATTTTGTGGAAGAGGACCCTGGGGCCCCAGGAGGCTAAGGAACCAGGACGGCAGGGGGAGTGTGGGTCTGCTGGCGACTCGGGTAGACTGCTTTCCACCCTGTTGGGTTCCCTGCAGGGGAAGAGAAGGGGGTGCAATGGGCTTGGAGAGCCAGGTTTCTGCTCCCCGTGTCTGGGACCCACTGCTGATCCAGTGAGTCAGAAGTCATTCCACGACTCCCCAAAGAGAAGTCTCGCTATTCGCGTAAGGAGGTTAGATAAACGAGGATGTGAGAGCCGCTTCCATTCATCATCGGAATCAGCTCCCAGTCTCACAGACACGCAGGCAGTAGGGGGACTGGGGAGGGGCACGCATCAGCCCAGAGGAATGTGTCCTCAAGTGGAAATGATGATGGGTTGACAGTTGCTTGTTTTGACTCTCTAATAAGCTAAAGCAGATGTTTCGGTGGATACTGGAGGTGGGAAATGAACTGGTCTCCCCAGGCACTCTGGGGACTAGAGTAGCCCCAGGATGGAATGCCCGGACGGGGAGTGGGGGGTGTGAGTCAGCAGCCTTGAAGCTAAACACAATGTATTGTAAGAAAGAACTTTGGGAGACGTTGACTCCTGCCTTCAACTTCCTTGTCTTTTTCCAAACACCCTGCTACTGAGAAGCTCCACCTCTTTGCCCCTATCCACTAACGGGGATATAGCTTAAGGGTTTTTGGCCCAGAAAAAGATCTATCCTGGAGTCTGGCCGCTGGGAGGACCCACCCGGGCAGAAGGAATCACCACGTAAGGCTGCAAGCGCGCTGCTCAGAGTTGCGACGAACATAGTCATTCTGTCCTCCCTACCCTCTTTCTGCCCTGCAGACCCGGAGCTGGGTGCCTGAGTCACATGTTTTCCCTGGCCATTTCCACTTCCATGTGTTTTCTCGTTCAGGTTACTTACAGCAGAATGGCTGGGAATGGTCTGTTTTCCATTTGCACCTGTGACCCTAGCCCCGTCTGATGCCTGGACTGACTGTGAGGTCAGCAGCAGCTTCCGCCTTTCCATGGGCTCGGGAGGGAAACCACCCCCTTTCCCCCTGGCTCCCAACCCTAAGATAGAGGTTCCTAAGGTGCTGGGAGGAGTGATAAAGAAGAAGGTAAGTATCACGGAACACGACATCAAAAACTAATGATGTAATGTATGGTGATTAACATAACAATAAAAAATTTAAAAAAAGAAGGTAAATGATAGTTTAAAAAAAAATAACTGCTTTAAAAAAAAATCATCTGCTTTTTAGCACCAGGAAAATGTTCTTTTTGAGTCTCTCCATCTTTATATGCCTGGTTCTCTCTCTCTCTCTGTCTCTCTCTCAGTCTCTCTCAATCTCTCTCTGTCCTCTGTCATACACACACACGTGCACACACCATCCTAACTTGATACCTGAGGTTCACATCAGAGTGGGGCTGGCACAATAAAATTTCCACCACATTCCACTAGTGAAAGCAAATCATAGATCCTACCAGATTCCAAGAGAGGGGAGAACACAGGACAAAAATACCAGGAGGCATGGTTCATGGGGCAGCACTGTCCCCTTGCAAACCCAACATCTTTTTGTGTGACAACATTTCTTACTACAAAAATGAGAAAGGGAAACTTGCCCAAGGATAAAAAATTACTAGATTGCTCCAAGATCCACCCACCGATACTGACTTGTTAAGAGGCTACCCGTCCAGCCCTCCTGAACTTTGCTCTTGGAGCCGGAAGGAAGCCTTTGATGGCTGCATCTGCCGCCACCGTCTCCCTTGAGAGCCACGTGCAGAGCCTTAGTGCTTATTTCCCCAGTCTTGAATGTCTTTCCATTTTCATGGCTGTTTCCTTCTCATCATTCAGGCTTGGAGATGGGTCCACACCCAGGCAGCACGGTCGTACAAGGCAGGATATTGGCGCTGAGAGTCCTGCAGGAAACTAGGAGCCTTCAGTGGTTACTACACCCTCAGGGAAGAAGAGACAGGCTCTGCTGGGCAAGCCAGGCAAAAGACAAGGGACTTGTGAGGGGAAAGAATGTCTCTTGGAAGAAACCAAAACACTAAGCCTTCACCACATGTATATTTAGAGTCTGCATTTATAATATACACATGGTTAAGAAATGAGTGTAAAATATTGTCCCCTGCCAGCGATATGGCTAGAGAACCTTCCTGGCAGAAGGCAAAGTCAAACTTCTCTATGAGGGCACTCCCACAAGCCATGCTGTGTGGAATCCCTCGAGGGGAAAAACAATTCCCCAATGAAAATAAATTCATGATTCACAGTAATCCACATGGAAACAATCCACACTGTGGGAAAATCAGATATACAACTAATAGAAGAATTAGAACCCCAGAAAAAGGAATATTCTCAGAAAGATTATAAAGTAGCTCTGCTTAAATCTATTAAAGAAATATTTTTCACAAGAATGAAGTAATAAGGAAAGTACATTTGGAAAAAAAACCAGCAAGCAAATTTG